CTTATGCATCATACATACAATAGCTTGAACCAAGTTTGAGTCCACCTGTGCAGCTAAAATGAGGGACAATGGCGAGAACTTTTGCTGTCCCCTATATACCCATGTACGAATATTGCATGTATATATATATGCATGCAATAGATGTCGGCATAAATATTTGTGTAAGCATTCCTAATCACGAGCAAGCTTTTTATCAATGTTAACCAGATTTCTTTCTGTGCGCACTTGATTGGTAACATACGCTTACATAATATATAATATTAAGAAGACATGCATCGGCTTAAATTCAATTATTTATCTGGACTGGTTTCAGAAAATGAGCATAAACTAGAAATTCTTCGGAGAATTGTTGCGGGGGTTTTTTAAACTAAAATTGTCTTTTCTCATTCTTCAAGTTATAAAAACACATGAAAACACTACATAAACTAGCGTTGAATGCTTTGCACCACTTCGCTTAGTGCAATTATATGAATAGCGACTTTTTAAAATAAGGCCTTATAATGAAAGCGGGCGAGAATGTGGTCCAACCTGAAACCTTTTCAATGTCATTAGTCCTTGTGCTGGCATTTCGGTTTAACAAATTTTATCGAAATATCTCGAAAATTGCTATCGGTAGATAGAACACAAGACGCGCAATCGGACAGACGGACAGACAAGTTTACATCGATTCGAAACGTGATTCTAAAGCATTCGACACAGTAGAACGTGGGCCTATCTCAAGTCTTTCTGGGTGATACATACATCCGGAAAAACTTAACATGTCCTCGTAGCGCAAGCGCTGTAGGATAAAAAAAATAAATTCGAAATTTCTATATATTGTATATGTAGTTTTGGTTGAAATCCATGGAACAGTTTCGACGTTGGCAACAAGACGTCCAAGACATCGAATAAGCTAAGGCAATTTATTGTAAAACTAAGCACAATGGGGATATGATCTACGGCAGGGAAGTTTACTAAGAATATTATGTCGCAACGAAATTGAAGCCAGTTGGGAAAGGAGCAGCTTTCTGGTTCCCCTGCTTTGAAGCTCAATCTATAGGGGGAACTGAAATTTTTCCCACTAATCGCGAGGAATCTACAAAAAGTTATGCTAACGACGATTTGTATAAGGGCTAGAATTTACTATTTTAGTTTTCGAGGGAGCATAATATGGTACTAAAAGAAAAAGAAGAGGAAGTTAATGAAAGGGGTAGAGTATTTAGATAATATGTGGTAAAATTTTGATTTAAAAACTTTGAAAAGTTGACGTGTAAGAGCGCTTAGATCCCACGTTGGAAACGCTGGCACAAACAAAGAAAACATTGGCGAAAATAAAAAGTTCAAATATCGTCATATGGGTGCTAGAGACGAGAAGAAAGAGATGTGAATACGGTTATGTAGACTATCGCAAAGCCATAATTGTGTGGAAGATTTCAGGTAAAAAGACCGCCAAGGCGATCGAATAAACCTTATAAACAATCAATCTCGGTTGACTTTCTTCTCTCTCCGAAGTCAAACTTCAAACAAATTTGAGACAACTAAAGGCTTAGAAAGGAAATTTGTTCATCACGCCTGACTGGAGCTCATTTTAAGACAAAACACATTCTAACAAATATCCAATGACTCCAATTTGTCTAACTACTATGTAACATATGTCGATATATTTTTATGTATGTATGTATGTATAAAATACACAAGCATATCCTTCGAAGAAGATTTCAAATAGTTTTAATGTTTTTCTTTTCCGGTTGTCTTCAGTATCTTCTGCGTCATGTCAAAACTTACCTAAGCCTAAGCGTTTCTTTTCTCTCTTTAAAATACAGCAAAAGAGAGTTACGTAATTTTTCGGTAATTGCATGGGCAAGATTTTTAAATCCACACAAATTAAAATAAAAAGAAGAAAAGAAAACTCTACCTATGTACAAGTTTTCCTGTTTCTAAGCACATGCATGTTGTCCTTTTATTATGGATATGAGTTGACATAAATAAATTTTTCCAATATCGATGCACTATAACGGAGAGAAAGATGCAAATTTTCTCCCTTTTATGCGCGATCCAACGCTCAGCATTATAAAGTTCGAACATGATTTTGCTGTACGTTTAAAATTTACTCGATATATAAAGACCTGTTGAAGTGTAGAGAGTTATGCTTGGGTTTAGACAAAGAATTGCCAGAATTAGTCACTTAATGGTTCTGAGTGTAATGTAAAAGTCCGTGTCAAGTGAAATCATTAGACGAAATCATTGAAACCAATCTCAGTGCGGGCGCCTTATTATGGAATTTGTGATGAGCGTTTTCCTTTCTCGAACATGCAACTCAAACCTTTCTTTCGGCGGTAACAACAACAGCAAAGACATATAACAGTTTTCAGTTCGTTAAAAAATTTAATAACTTTTTTGAAAACTGTTTCATATATTCTCGATTTAGTAGTAAAAACAAATATACGATTAAATACAAAAGGGAAGATTGTATTCAGCTTAAAACGAAAATCTTGGGAATCCAATTAGAGAGAGAAGTTGAAATCTTGCGTATCTGAATTGAGGAATTGTTGCCGAAGCAGCGCGAGTAGTTGCGCAAAGCAAGCTGGGCCATTCACAGTTCGACTATTTCAAAGGGCCATGGCTTATATATATTTGTACATCGAATTTTGTTATCGTCATTTCGACCACTTGTTGTTGGTTGTTGAGAACGGTCTCTACAATTAAATCGCATGAGCTGCCATCAAACGTTTGAAATTGCCTAGCAGCTCCTGGCTTGTTCATATCGCTCTCATCAATCAACCCCAACAAGTGTCTTTGTCAGTTGGACGATTGGGAACATTTTCCCGCCCCAAGCTATTGTATGGATTAACAGAAAAGTATTTGCATTAGATTTCAATCGCTATTTAGCATATCTGGACAAGCTCCAATGTGTAAATAGATAGATCGGAGGCTTGACAAGGGTTGACCTATATGCCTCAGTTTATTGAGAAAAAAAATTTTAGTCTTAAATATTTACTTTTCATAATTCCGCTATCGTTACGATAGACGAAACGTTGCAAAATCGTCTCCAGTTCAAAAACATGCTTACTACTTTGAAACTTTATATTAATAGGAGGGGCATTCGCATCTGATTTTGTAACCTGCACAATAGCATAAATATCTATATACGCATACACTTGATTCCTTTATAGAAGACGAAGTATATGTAAAGATCACAGTTGGCACTTTTTTCCTTCCAACATAAGGCCTTGGTAGATATCAACCCTAATTAGGGATGACGAGCCTTTCAAGCTCATTTGAACGCTGTGCTTCGATATTTTTATTTACTTCATATTGTAAACAAAAAATTTGCTTTTGCTTTACTTTAAACTAAAAATAATATAGAGGAACGTGGCGCACCATTAAAAGCCGTACTCCACTTCGCTTAATGTAGCTAGTCATGTAACGATAAAAAATTTGTTTTCAAAAACGCACATTCTTGCGCCAAAACGCGTCGGCGTACCGAATTACATTAAGTTATGTCAAAACTGCCGTCTGTAGGTTAAACGCAAGAATACAGGATAGATAGATGGACGGGCAAGCTTCGAATCACTTTTTGAATCGATCGGTGTAACAAAAAGCGGATATATCGGAAGTCCTTCTGAGTGTTGTATACATCCAAAATAACTAAATTTACCCTTGTACTACAAGTTGAGAGTATAAAACCATTATTTTTAGTTAGGAGTTTGTCATGATATAAGTTAATCGTTTTCATAAAAAGCGTATCATTATACTACCATGTGTCTCACAGCTTCAGCCAATCGGCAAGAAATCTCATATGTTGGATAGGTAGGACACAATCGACGAGAAAGTTTGAAGGAGGTTGAGGAACCGTGCATACTATTTCGGACCAATAGCAACAGTGTTCCATTTGATAGTTTCTTTAGAAGCTATTTACTGAAACTGTTATGCAACTTACACTATAACAAAAAGAATGACATGCTTATTATGCCCATAATGCTCATCATGGTATGTTTTTTTTAACAGAAGCACGTCGGATTAAGATTACGGGATATTTGAACCGGCGGATCGGATGTATTAATCCTCCGATGTCTGCTTTAAACTAGATTTCTTTGTGAGTGTCTCCAAACCTTTTGGTCTGCTACAAGGCTTTTTCTTTTCGCTATTATGACCGTATTTGAAACATATATGTATATATATGAGTGGGTATATGTAAATGCAGACAACTTCTCATGCTGATGAAGAATATATATTATTAGTAAAGTGTCTAAGGCCTATTTCTACATCCACTTTCTTCGTCCTTTTGGATGTAAAAGTACAGGCAGATTAAGATTGAAGACAGTTTCAAATGTAGCATCACAAGCCGTCTTGAATGACTAATGGTTTGAAAAGATAGGATTTTTGCATAATCTCTCTCGTCGTGTTACATATTTGTTGGGAAAATTTGTTTACACCGACTCTACAAATATTCTGAGAATTTTATAAATAACAGGTTTAGTGACATCAAGGCAACGCCAGACGGAAAAAGCCGTCAATGCACTAACCGAAGTCAAGTAAATTAAAAAAAAAAAAAAACTTATAAAAATGCATAATTTCTACAGACGTCAACATAAGAGTTCGTCAATTGAGAAAGTCAAGGAAGACAATGAAAAAGTGAACAAGAACAATCGGCAAGTGTTGCAATTTTTATTAGGGTTTTGCATAACTTCTTGTAATCAGGTGCGATTCAAAACAAGTTTCGATTATGTACGCACGAGCAGATAGAAGAGCAAGACATTTCTCGACTCTCAGAAGATAGTCGTCTTCAAACCAATTTCTTTTGCTAGCCTTACCTGGCTAGCTACTCATTTAAAATATGCAAATGTTTGTTAAACTTGTTTAGCAATAACAAACAAATTAAATATTCAAACATACAACAAAGCAAAACAAGAACACGTTCGAAATGCATGATCACCGTAATGACAAAACAGAAAAGCTAGATCCGAAGAGAGAGTGCCCTTGCTCTCTATATAAATAACGAAGTGTTTTGTGTAACATCTATTATTTGTTCATCTAAAGCGTAAGCAGACGCAGCGTGAAAAAACATCAATTCTTATAAAGCGGAAAATCGAGTGAAATTATTTAAGTTTTTTATTTAAAAATTTCTCGTAAACTTATGTGTCAATGAATAACCGAACCGACACTAAAGCCAAATTATACGCCAATTTAAGGTGAGTTGAAAAAAGTACAACAATATGTTCAAGTATCACACGTGTTCCTCCTTTATTCAGTCTTTCTAAGCATTTGTCATCGAAGAAGGGTTCTCGTACCTCCAATTGCGGTAATCGTCTGGAATTTTCAGTCCTAAGTTTCATACACAACGTGCCTTGAATTTATTTGCCTCCAAAAAATATCAACAATTATTTTAAATTAAAAATGGTTCATAGCAATCGCAAATCCACCAAATCATTGGCCGTTAAAGATGTTAGTCCTTTACGTAATACACCCACCGTTCCAGCCAATAAATATGAATTATCCTCCAGCCCTCAAATTGGTTATAAATTGGAAGTACCAGTGCGCGCGATTGTCGGCGAAGCAACTACTAATAAATGGTTTTGGAATGATATGATGAAAGAAAATCGTGAACACTTCAATAATTTGCACTTTTGTTAAATTCTCAAAGAAGATGAAAATGTTAAGAATGGACTTAATTGAGCGTTTTTTAGATGGAAAAATATACTTTTAATAAAATTTAAATTCTTTATCTTAAATTTAAAAAACATAAGAAAACACTTGCTTTATAATGTCACTATTGTGTGTGGAAATGTAAAAAAAAGATACTCTACGCCTATTACCCGCTCCATTGGCGCAGTGCTATGCGAAACACAGAAAAGTTAGTCGCGTGTCATTTCATAGCTGCACGTTAGAGCTAGAAAATGTGCAGAAAGTCGATGATTCGTTATATGCGCGAATCGCTTCCTCAACAGCAACATTTCAATAAAAGTTGAAATCTCACGCAAGTCACTGAGACAATTGTCACAAAGTGTAGGATGCAAAAAGTGATTCAATGACTTTGTTATTTGTGGCGTGGATATTAAAATGCCTCTCGCAGATGGCGATCAATTGCAGAAGAACTGAAGGTTTTCTGGCAAAACCGTAGCAAGATGTGCCACCATCTGGGAGCTAAGCACCCTTTACCACTCCCTACGTGAAGACACCATAAGTAATTTCAAGTTGTTAAAAAAAATTATCCGCGGCAATCTGCCTGCCTGCAGAAAAAAGATTGGGATTGAATCCTGCCACTTGGTCTGGTTACAGAAAACTAGTTCGATTACTCTTCTACTTTTGTGACTCTTCTGGCAAATACTAGGCCATACTCCGTAATAACCGCGGCAACATGTAACAAAGTCAGGCTATTTTCAATCGCTGAGCTAAGCCAGCATTGTAGTTGGGATTAACGCACGAAAACTCTTCATAGTCGTCAGCAAGCCGCAAGTTGCCATTCAAGGCGATAAGTTACTGTGAAGATGATTGGTTTAGGTTGCGCGATTTGTGAAAAACGAAAGAACAGGTGGCACGACACCTTATTGCCGTCAAGCGTAGCAAGTTTGGATATGTAGAATCGGTAATTTAAGCGGTTATTTACGGCAATTGAAAAAAAAACAAACAAATAAAAACACGGCTTACCGTCGAGTACCTTCCACCAACCTACAGTTTATACATGTAACGACGTAATATGCGAAGTGGTGGGAGAAGCTGTCCGAAATGGGCTTAAGCCAAAACACGCCAGTGTGTCGTACTCCACCGAAATATCGCAAAAATTGCAGCCTGTTAATTGAACACAAGAAAACAAGGCGGACAGACGGACAGAAAAGCTTACATCGATTCAGGAAGTGTGTTAGCCAGTTAACTGTGTATGACGAGTATATACGTAACGACTCGTCCGTCCATCCTATTCGGATTTTCTCATAAAATCTCCTCATCATGAATGTACATTTGCCATAATACAACTTGGAATACATTTTTGGCATTTTCTCAAGCCGTTCCATTACAACTTGATCCCTCTACGTTTGACGAGCATAGAAATTTACCGCTAAAGGCGTCGACACGGTTAACTGGCCAAGTGCTTTGGATGTTGCGTAAATCCGCACAAACTCAAGATAACCTTCTATCACAAGTAGTCTAGGTTGTGGCTTTAGCATAATAAAAGCAGTTACCTATAAAAATATCGTTTATCAAACCAGTAATGCCGCGACAGACAGGTTTCTAAAGATCGATTAATTAATCGGGGGTCTTAACTGCAAAGTTCCGATGCCAAACTCACACTTGCCATTACCTGATTTACTTCTTTTCTTATAGAAATTTTTAAATGTTGTAAAATTATTGCAGAAAGAAATCCGTTCTTAAAATTTTGTCATAAAAAGCTCAGATGTTGTGAAACAGCGGACTTATAAGATAACATTATCGACAAAAGAGACTATTCTAAGAGAATTCTACGTATGGGATATTCCGACTTTTGCTTTCAATTAATATATATATATATATGTATGGAGTTGCACTCGAGAAAAGCTCAAGATTTTTTAAGCAGACTTTCGCAAACTTTAATTGAAAGTTGAAATTCCATAAATATCCATTACCACCGTGACGAAGAAGTAAAATCCTCTTACAAAATAAATATAGAAATAAATCGCATTTATCAAAATTAAGTTTAATATCTTCCAAGTCACGTGTCAGGTTTCTGTGCGAAATCTTTGCAAAAGAAACTTTTCGGTTTTTGTTGTAAATCCTTTTGTTGCAAAAAGAAAAATTTGTTACCATTTGCACGCGATTTACCAAAGACTTTATAAATTTCTACGTTCTTCCCTGTACACGTTTCAATATATATATATATATATATATATAAAAAAAAAAAAAATAAAAAAAAAATATATATATATTAAAAATTTTTTTTGTTTTTGTTTTTTTCAATATTTTTTATTGTTTTTAATTTTTTTTTTTTTTTTTTTTTTTTTTTTTTCATTCATTTATTCATTCATACATTCGTTAAATTAAATTATTACATTACAAACCATATTTTGCACTTAATGCCTTGTCGCCCTTACCTTTTCGAATAAGCCATTTTGGTGGGTATGTGGAAGCGAGCATTTCGGTAGCGATGCCACAAAAATTTGTGCTTTACCATATTTTACACATTTTAGCGATTTGTCGATTTTCGATTTTTTTTGTTGCTCGTTGGTTCGTTGGTTTCATTTCATTTAAATTATGAGTGTACGAAGGCAGGTTGAAAAGCACGTTGTACGGTTTCTCTTGTTTATCTTTTGGGTTCACTTCGTTCAACTTTTGATTATATGAAATCTCCAACCTTGCATTAGACTGTCAGCACCTGATTAGCGCCGACCTCGCTAACACAGTTAATAGTTCAGAATATAGGAGACGGACGGATTTAAAGGCTAAAGAGAAAGAAAAGTTGAGTTGTTTTCAGAAAAACAGCAAAACAATTTAATTTATCGCTTAGTCGTGACGTTAGATGGGAGCATTAATGGCACTGGTGGATGAAAATAAAGGAAATTGGCAACCCTGGTAGGAAGAAGGAAGAAAAGAGGACAACGAATTCAATATAGTGAGGCAAAATCATCTAGAGAAACAAAATCAATCTCGTATACTTTGGAAGTAAAAGCAGCTCAACGGTGTTCCTTCATAACTACCATTCGGATGAGGCAAAATAACAGGAATCTTATCTAAATTTTGATGATGCATTCTCTTAAGTAAACACGTAAGAAAAAACCTGCACCGCAAAAAAGGCGATATTCCTCCTGTTAGCAGAAGGCGCCAGCTGACATAAGGACTTCTGCAGTGGCAAAGGTGACGGAAGACATATTCATCACGTTGAATGTAGGCCAAGTATTTAACCGTAGAGTTGGGAAAAGAGTAGAGTTCTTCAGATAAATGCATATTTTTAACTTTCAATCTACCCTCGTACATACCTCTAAAGTTTAAGTTGAACTGATTATAAATCAAATTTACATTTCAAATTAGCCTGTGATGTAACAGACGATTAAATTAAAAAAAAATCTTTTCATTAAATCTTCAGTTTCAATTCATTAAATTTAAAAAATACTCGATGAAAATTTGGAAACAAATAAATTAAAATTTATTCATAGACGGAAGTAGTTGTTGTTTTGGTAAATCATTTTACGATAAGAGGCTTAGAAATCATTTTGTGGAAATATTGCATAAATTGAAGGTGCGAAATAACACCGATAAACGAATATCTCTTAATTCTTCTACACAATATTTGTGCAACTTAAATTTAATTAAATACGAAATACAAGTCTAATGCATATATATGTATATATGTATATATACATAAAATGAACGCATAATTCGTTTTATATGCGGGCCCTGGCCACAGCAAATAATTTATTATTGATTAATAATTTGAAAAAAAAAAAAAAATTATATCTAACATATTACGGGAGGATATTCGCACATTGTTAGCCAAACAGAAAGACATTGAAGCTCGTACGAAGGATACCTCTCATATCCAACTCATTTAAAGCAACTCACCTATGCATGTCAATTTTTGAAATACTGTTAATGAAAATGAAAAGAAAAAAAACATAATATCGGTTATTTTTACCTATTTTTATACTTTACACAACCCGTCATGCTCGTCGCAGGATACGCGATGCTAAAAAGGAGTTGTGATAGGAACACGTTTTGGTATGTCAATCGGTTCATATTCATTTTCAGAAAAAGAATCGTTTGAGAATCGATAAAAAGTAATCGCTTTAAGGAAGGATGCGGTTACAATTATTTTGTTTTTTCTATTATGTGCATAACATCCAAAAGGAAGCTTCGGAGACTCTACAAAGTATATATATTCTCGATCAGCGTGAAATTCTGAATTGATTTAGCCATGTCTGCCCGTCTGTGTCTATGTGCGGTGTTTGTTGTTGGCACTCTCCTGGTCGCACAAATCCAGATATCGACCTCAAATTTGGTAAAGCCATTGAAGGTTTTCTGCACGCAGGTTGGCATCGAAAATGGCAAAATTGTTCAGAGCAAATGCCCGTAGTGCAGCATAAACTGAACACAACTCCATTTTTCTTACCGAAAAGTTGCCAAAATCATAAAAGTTAGAAGGTTGAAATTTTCCACATTTACTTTACGAAATACATTTTGCGTGAAAAAATGGAAAAAATTAGCTATGGCCACGCAAAGGTACATGTCATTATATTAAATTTTTTTTTTTTTTGCTTTCTTGAGGTTTTCAGCTTATTCATCATAACGCAAACAAGGCAGAATGTTTAAACCATTTTTTATATTTCTCAAAATGAAGATATATTATCTGCCTGAAATGAAAATGACAGACGCCGCGACGTGATGGATTAATTTTTTCTTAATAATACCAGCGATACGGGCATCAAATAAATGAACTCGGAGACTAGAACGCGAAGAGCATAGTGGTCTACCATTTTAGGAACTCATTTTTTATTAGCGAATCTTAAAACAGCAAGCAAGTAGTATTTTACGACGAAAATGGATAAACAATTAAACGAAGTAATTTATGGAATTTAACTGCCAGGCTGTTTTCTTTTGTAGTGAAAACTCGAATTCTACTTAGGTATATATAATTTCTCTCATAGACATATATCTGCGCTGTATACACATGCACATCTGTGTACTCATGCTTAAGAGAAGAAAATATACCTAGAGGATCTGCGGTCATTAAATCAGCGTTTCGTATTGTGATGTCCAATATAAGACAGTCGGACAGACATA